ATCCGGGACCCAATTCACCCGGCTTTGGAGGGACGATGTCCCGTGCCAGGTGCTTATGCTGTGTCTGGAACTGGGCTCTCCACAACACCCCACGCTGCTTCCTACTTCCTGTCCCTCACAGCAGGGCAGGAGCGCCAGGCGGATGCAGACGCTAGCTCCATGAGGACATATGTGGTGAGAAGCCCATCCCCAGAGGAGGAGGCAGAGAACAAGCAAGTAAATAGGCCCATACTTTTGCGTGTGGTATGTGCTGGGAAGGATGGACCGTCAGTGACAGAGAGCCACAAAGGGGCGAGGGCAGGAGTCCTGTGTGGATTCGGGGGGCGGGGGAGGGAGGGGTTCAGGAGGAGCTCTGAGAAACCTAAACAAGAAGTAGCAGTCCTGCTGAGAGCAGTGGGCAGACTGAGCAGCAAGTCTAGACTCTAAGGCAAGAAACAAAGGAAGGCTACAACAACTGAAATACAGACAGCAAGGGGAGGGCGAGGCCCAGGGCCCGAGCCAAGGCATGTGAGAGCGGCGGCCACACGTGGATCCCAGGCCGCACTACCATTGTAAAGAACCTGCAGGTCACGCCCCAGCAGCTTGGAGATGTCCAAGCACTAAGGCTTTTAAGCAGCAAAGGGACAAATGCTGAGCTCTGTCTTGTGTCTTGTGCCGGCCACGGTAGGCAATGGGCGGGGAGGCCGTTGGGGCCTGTCAGGAGGCTGTGGGAGCTCCCGGTGTCTGCGACCCGGGGCAGCCGTGGGTGGCCCCTCAGCTCATTCGGGGCTGGCTTGACTCAAAGCCACAGCGTCTCCGGCCCCAGCACAGGTCTCTTCGCAGTTGGGATTAGAGACGTGTTAATGAGGACAATGTCTTAATTAAGGTTTTCAGATGGGTGGCTGCAGTTTATTGTCAGGTTCTAGTTGAGGGCTGTGCTAGTTAGAACATAGATTAGGTGAGTTATTGTAGAAAGCCCTAAAACGAACATGACAGTATTTTAAACATGACTGCTGCATAGAAGCTCTGGCTGGGATGGTGCCTTGGTCCCCTTTGGTCTAAGATGGTGTCCCACCGCATCCACAGAGCCACTCGGGGGAGGGGAGGGGGAGGAAGAAGAAGCCATCCTTCCTAGAAGCACACAGAAGAACCTAGAACATGCAACCCATCACTTCCACAAGCACCCCAACCCACAACACACAGCATTCTTAGCTGTAAGGTATATGGAGATATAGGTCGTTATTATGACTTATCCAGCTACAATTCCAAAGCATTCAAATGGGGAAATGGTTATTAGGCTAGAAGTGTTGGCCAGAAGCCTGGGGGACAGGCCATGGCTCCCAAAGGCATGCAGCTCTCCAGCCAGAGAGCGGGGAGCCAGTCCCACTGTGAGCTGGCATGGGCTTCAGGCCACAGGCTAGACTTCCTGTATAGACATTTGCATTTGCCATGGCATCGGGGCTGTGGTCTGTGATCAGTGAAACAGGCTTCAACTTAAATTAAACTGATTGTTGCACTGAACTCAAACTCAGGGCCTTGCACTCTTCTCAGCTTTTTTGCCCAGAGCTAGAGTGCTCCACATCCCACTTTCCATCTTTTTGAAGGTCATTTAGAGATAAAAGCCTCTTAAATTTTTTCCGCCCATGTGAGCTCCCAACCTCAATCCTCAGATCTTAGCCTCCTGAGAAGCTGGAATTATAGGTGTGAGCCACCAGTAACCTGAATATATTTACATCTAAGAAGATACTAAGGACACAGCTACCACAAGTAGGAAGGCATCAGCATGTTTATCTTGATCAAGAAGCCTGCTCCCTTCCAGTACTGGGGAAAGACAACAGACTTGAGCTTCAGGTGTGGGGTGCAAACACCAAGCAAGTCTGTGCGTGTCTTTGGACCTCATTACTTCCCTTCTGTTATATGAGGACAGAGGAGTCTGTAAGGTTACAGTGAAGATTATGTGAAATTAGAAAGTATCCATCAGTAAGGCTGGTCCATAGCCATGCTTCATGGATGTCACCACTCCCGGCCTAGGATGGCAGAAAATAAAACGGATTGTAGGTGAGAAGTCAGATTTGTGGGTGGAAGTCGGCACAAAGCTGAAGTCTCTGCCTTAAATGCCATGGCTGAACTGTGTCATCCATGCCCGGAACGTGCTGGCAGGAAGGGTACGGATGAGGTGTGGGGAGCTGGGGTCTGACCTAGTTCTTCTGGTTCCTGTGTCAGCAGCGTCTCCCCCTCCCACCCCCCCACGCCCACTGCCACCTTCAGCAGAGACTCTCCAGGAGGAGAAAAGTCAAACTTCCGTACCCAGAGGGCACAGTGTTTTCCCACAGAAAGAAAGTCAGGGCAAGATGACGTTAAAAACAAACTTTCCTGGCACTTGGAACCAGATACCTTCCCAGCTGTACTATTTCATTAACTTCCTATGATAGACTATGAGGCAGACAGTATAGATATTATTCCTTTACACATGAGAAAGACAGAACTCGAGATTGAGTAAGTGCCTTGGCCAACATCTCAAAGTTAAGAAGGCTCCCCATGTGGGTCATAACACGAGCCTCCTCATTCTTGGGCTCCGCCATGTCACCGGGGGACAGCAGAAACAGGCCTGGGACCACCTGTGGCTGAACTGGGCTGCCCAGCAATCCTCAGAAGCCTGGGGGAACTGTATTTGTCCTATGAGTAAGGCAGAAAGTCCATACTAGACGTGTTGGCTTAAACAGTGGTAATTGAGTGTTATGGCAAAAGTGGAGGCTCTGTGGTACTTGGCAGATTAAGGTAAACGATGCTTTTATTTATAAGCCAGGTACCTGAGGGTACTGGGATTGCTGCCTCACCTGGAGTGAATAAGTAGAACCATCTCACGACCCATACTGCTATGGCAAGCCAGGTCCTTGGTCCCACCTAGATCCGAAAACTGCTACACTTTCCAATCTCTCTGATCAGCTCTGCTCCCTTCAAATATCAGGCAACTTCTGTGACTTTGTCCTGGCCTGGAGGCCAAACATCGTGAGAGCTTCTTTGTACCATGAAGCAGGGTAGAATGTGCATGGATTTCTCTTTTCTCCATAAAGATCTGCTTAAATTGAAAGGAGACTTTAAGTTCTTTGCAAGATCCTTGACATTAGCAAGAATCCCCACAACTGCAAATATCATTCTAGGATACTGCTTCTCCCTCAAAATGTAATAAAATTACTACTCAAAAATCCCTAATGGGTTTATCAATAAGGTACTAAAGTCTTCTCATATGCTAATTAAATGTTTCCCTAGCGTCATCTTTCTGGGCACGCGTTCACATCAAAGACCAAATCATCTCAGCGTCTACACCAGTCTTGTCCTTTTTCTAGCACAGACAGGAACATTCCTCAGGTGGTTTTCAAAATTACGTATTTGCATTTTGGGCAAGGAGCCTGAGCGGGCTCCTGCCTCACTGATCAGAGCTGCCCAAAGCCAACGTGCGGCTCTCTTCTGGAATGTCCGTTCTCTACCCAGGACAGCCAACTTGCCCTCCTCCCTCTGCTGCCGGCTGACCTCACAGCTTCCCTTCCCAGGGAAAGGTGACGCGAGGAGGCCAGATCCGCTCACAGCTCCCCAGCACTGTCTGCTGCAGCTCTGAGTTCTGACCTCAGAGAAATTACAAATCGCTACATGCTTTAGACCTGGAGGGTAGCTGGGAAGAAATTCGCTGATTTCAGAGTTCTTTTGGACTTGTGATTTTGCCTTTTGTGTTCTGATATTAGCACACACTGGTTTTGGTGTTTTCACGTTAACACTTTGGGTCTTCAGTTTTATATATGTCGATCTGTAGGTCCATTTGACCTCCACACATCGGAATTTGACTATCTCCTTGTGCATTAACCAAGACGCTGGACATCCTGCACATTCCAGACTGCTTGGCCATCCAGCAGTGCCTAGCAGAATGCCTTGGCGCAGATGTCCTCTACCAACCTCTCCCCTACCCCCTCCATCTCCTGACAGGTACATACTGCAAATGCTGGCCCAACACCGTTGTCATAACAACCCTGTTTTACCCCCTCCCTGGCCCAGGCATAGACCTGCCTGCATCCTAGACCTGTCTGCTGCTAACTCCAGCTGTTCTGACCTTTGTACTGAATGGTCCTCCAGATCTGCGATCTACCCACTTGTATTGATGGGCTCGTGTTAGGAATCCACCACAAGCACAACACACCTACTCATCAAGATACAGTGAACCCAGTGAAGCTATGACACAAGGACCTGGCACCACAGGGAAAAGAGTTCTCTCAGGTAGACTGAGGCTAAAGGAAGAGAGTTTGTGAAGAAGCCCATGGATGAAGGGCTTTTCAGTCCCTAAGCTTCGTCGTATCAGATCACCCTGGTGACAAAGCAGCGCTTGCAAGGCTGTTAGGATGGAATCTAGAAATAGCTTCATTATTGACTATTACAATATTTGTCAACATGAGATTTTTTTTTGCTTGTATATGCGTTTAAATAAGATTTCTGGCCATCATTGTTTATAGTCCAAATATACTAATATTTCCACATAGCAAATTCTAAAGAAGACAAATGAAATATTTAAATAACCTAAGTATTGTATAAATATCACCCGACACATAAAAAAAAACCCTCTGATAACGTGAAAAGATGAAAAAGGCTAAACTCGAGGAAATAAAGGAACTATAAATCAAAAAACTTTAGAGCTGCTGGAGAGACACTTTAATTTCATAGACAAAGACTGCATTAAGGAGGAATAATGCAATAATCAAAGGTGAGCGGAGCTCCATTGTCTGGCGTCTTTCTCTGTGGGAATTTTCCCACCCCTGGCAGCTGTAAGGGGGGGAGGGGCGCTGAACGTGGCTGTGCCTTTATTCCCTCACCCCTTTTCCTCCCCAGCCCCCCACTTCTCCGTCAATAAATGTCTGCAATCATATTCTTGAGCTCCTGTGTGATTTCAAGGTTCATCTCTTCCATACAGCTCAAACACTAATTATCCCAGCTGTAATTAGTAAGATAATTAAATACTGGCTCACTCATCACTCTACCTTGGGTCGGGTCGTGATTCTCCCAGAAGACCTTGAGCAGTTCCGCAAAGCTGATGTGTTCTGGCTGGTACACAACCCGCACGACTTCTGCATGGCCAGTTTTTTCTTGAAAGAAACAAAACGTACAAGCACCATTTACTGACAACATCGATTTATTGCAAATTATTTGTTCTGACAGAAAAAAAACACAACAACAACAGACAAAAACTGCAATTCTTCCCTCTGAAGGAAAAGCAGAGACATAATTGGACCTTAGCTAACAGGCTCAGCCTCGACTCCCGTGGCTGACTTTCTCCACAAACACATACAGTCATCCTCTCGCGAACCTCGTGGGATGACTTAGTCGTGCTCAGGTTTCTCTGACTGCATGAGAAACAAATTGATATTTTCTTTTTTCTACTCCTGCTCTTATAAAACCTCATAGACGCAGCCCGTGATCGCACTGGAGACTGGAAACTGCAGAGGAGACAGAGCCAATTTATTTCTTACCATTGCCCCATGCTATCCAGAGTAGACTCTGCTCCATTGCACAGCGACATGGTGCCAGAGACAGAAGCATGTTAGAACAGCCTCACCACCCATTTGTGTTAGATAAATCAACCAGCGCAGCGGTGGCATTTGCTGTGCAGGAAACACCAAGGCCAGGCTGAGTCCAACGCACAGTAGGGCGGGAAGTGTTTGCTGAGCCTAACTGCTCTCGGTGGTGAGGATGCTGTGCAGAAAATGTCTCTGCAGGAGCCCCTGTGAGGTGGTGCCCCTGTGAGGTCAGCCTCGGCTGACTGGGGAAGTGGGTATTTGTAGTTCTACTGGAAACTAGGGAATCCATGACCGTCCCTATTGTGCCATGTTGGAAGCTGGTAAGGAGCAGGCCCTTGGTGCTAACAGCATCTCTATATTTAAATTGGCTTTGTATCTCGTGTCAGTCATCTTGTCAGGTAGTAAAGAATTCAGTCTTGATCACAAGTTGGTTAGCCTTTCCTTTCTCTCTTGCGGGAGGATCTGTGAGATATCAGCTAGAAATATGGCCAGCCATGCTGGCTTTTAGGATGGGGGTGAACAGCCTTAGTATGGGGCTGTCCAGGGTGGAAGGGCAGCCATGTGACAAGATTTGCTGTGAGGCAGCCTGGAGACCGAGCTCGGCCCTGGGGAGAGTCACGCGGAGGTCTTGCCTGCATAATAAGTGGGTTTCCCAGCTAGGAAACACTCTGGTCACTGTCACGCATGGATGCCAGGAGGGTAACACATCTGACCTCACAGGACAGACGGACAGCAGCCCGGAGTTCCTCCCAGAAGGTGCCCCTGGCCTCCCTCACTGGTTGGGAGCTGTAGCCTTTCCTGTGGCCATCAACTACACATGCACCAGCTCACAGGGAGTTCCCGTGGTCCTTCCAGAAAACCAGAAAACACAAAGTGATTACAAAGAAATCCCTGGACCTGCACCTGACTTTGTAGGAGTGTTATCCTGTATGCTGGCCTCATTTTTGTTTTCACAACTGCCTAGTTCTATAGGCAATGAAAACAGAAATCCATTTTATAGACCAGAAGGCTATGATGCTAGTAAGTTAGATTTTCCTGTGGTCACATGGGCTTTGGGAGGAAAAATACTCTCTGATTTTTTTTGTCTGGGTTCTACTCTATATAGCAAAGAAAGAGCGAGTAAGGAGCCATCAAGAATTTGTGACTCCATGAAGGAAAGAAATCTACTATCTTCAGTCTTCTTTTAACATTTAAGGTCCTTTCTGGTTGTAGAAGCAATATTTTCAAGCAATATGACACTTAGAAATGTGGGAAGTGTGGGGGCAGTATACAGAGAAAAAGCAGATTCACCTATACTCCCCCTGCATGTATACACTGTAAATATGTGTAGGCATTTCTCCAGATGTATAACAGAGGCATAAATGCGTACCCACGCTTACATGCAATTATTCAGTCATAACTGGTACAGCATGCTTTTCCTGCTAAACAGTAAATGCTGTCTTATCACACCACTGAAATTTTTAGGGAATCTTACTTTAATAACTACATAACATTCCATCACATGGCTTTCCAATTACATATTCAATTATTCTCTGTCATTGGGCATTTTTGACTGTCTACTATCTTTATCCCTGGATATAAACATTTCCCCCACACTTCTGAGGCTGCCTCAAGACATAGTAGTACAAATGGAATTTCTACACCAACATTTATAAACATTTTTAAATTTCTTGATGCCTGCTGGCAAACTTATATATTCAGTAAAGTCAACTCAATTTTTTTTCTTTCCCATGACAGCTCTCTGCCACATTTTTTGTAATCTTTGGTAACTTATAGCTAGAGGGTAAGTTTAATTGTTTATTAGAATGATTTTAGTTATTAGGGAAGTAGAAGTAACTTTAGTGCTTATGTTGAACTTAATCTTTTATTTTTTCTAACTTTCATAATGTCTTTTGTACATTGAGTTATCAGTTGGTTATATTAGTGGTTTATTACTGATTGGTCAGTTAATTCAAATATCATAGTCATTTAAAGGAATGACAGTAGACAGATTAGGAAGAACCATCTTGGGATAAAACCCCATCAGATCCACTATAAATCTCATTTGGCTGTGTGAAATGTTTAAATGAGTGAGTTAATTGAAAAAGCATTCAGACTCTCTGAATGTTTTAAGGTAGTTTGGTGCTTGTGATTCATGCCTGTAATCCTAGCTACACAGAGGCTGAAACCCAGAGTATCAAGGTTCAAAGCCAGTCCAGGCTAAAATTTTTATTTCCAAAATCATGAGCGAAAAAGCAAAGCTGGGACTGCAAAGGTGGCTTAGTGGTAAAGTGCTTGCCTAGCATGCATGAGTCCCTGGGTTCAATTCCTCAATACCCCATAAACAAAAAATAAATTAACTAATTAAAAGAAAAAATAATAGTTTAAAAAAAAGCGAGGCTAAAAGCATGGCTCAGCTTCTGAGCTTGGCAGCTCAGTGAGCGTGAGGCCCTGAGTTCAAGCCCCGGTACTGGCACACATACCCAAAAAAATAACATACCATTTCTTATTAATTGTATTTTCTAACAGCAATCCTTAGACTGCTAGTGTTGCTGGGTAGGCAATGAAGCTGGTAGCCTTGTTTGGCCAGAGTCAGGGAAAAGTTATGAACTCCTTCCTCACAGGCCTCTGGCATATATGGCAAGAGCCACAAAGAGACCCAGACATGGCGATGAGCTGGGCCTGGAGATACAGCTCATAGGCAAAGCCCCAAATTATGGAAATGTGATAAATGCACAAAAAAATCATCCCATCATTATTCCAGTGGTGTAGTGCTGTAAGAAACACCAAGTCCAAAGAAGAGAAGTAAATTAGATTGTGACTATGTGAGGAAATACCATGGGTATCACATCCTCACCGCGGAGAAAGCTGCGATTGTTTATTGAACATCAAAAAGATGACAGATGCTTTGTCTACTTGCCTCTGATGGCTCACCGAAACTTTTCCTAATTCTCTCCTATGTTGACAACATATATACAACATAAAGTGTACTACTTGCATGCTAACAATTAAAGTGTACAGTTAGGGGTGTTAGGTTCATCTACTGGGGTGCAACATCGCCACAGCCCTCTCTAGAACTCCTCATCTTGGAAAACAGAGACTCTGTGCTCATTGAACACCAACTCCTCATCTTCTCTCCCTTGTGTCTGGCAACCCTACTCTCTCTCTGTCTCCAGGAATTTGTCTGCGCTAGGGATCTCGTATAAGTGGAATCACACAGTGCATATATTCTTCTGAGTAGTATATTTCACCTCCACATTGTAGTGTATGTCAGAATTTTGAGAAAGAGAGAGAGAGAGAGAGAGAGAGAGAGAATCCTGCCACAGCTGCCACAATGTGCACATCCACCCATCCGCCAATGGACACTTTGGTTGCCTCCACCCTTTTATCTGCTATCAAAACGCTTTTATGAACACAGGGCACAAATATTACTTGTAAAATATTATTGTTTTCCATAGATGAGGAAACCGAGTTTTCTCCACCCTCCCACAGCTAGTAAGCTGTCAGACAACCAGGTTTCAATCAGAGATGGAGCTTGTGCCCGGCCCATGGCACCAGCCAAGGCTTTAGAATGGAAGAACTCAAAGTCACCAAGAAGGAACAAACGTCACAGCCAGCACCCAGAAAAGAAATCACAGCTACATGGTCATTGATACTCAGGCTGTCCTGAGTAGTCTACAGGATTTGGCTCTTCTTTGGTGATAGCAATATGGGGTCCAGAAAGAGCCATTCAGTGGCAAACACTCCCCAGCATTATCTCCCAGTCACTATTTGCTGAGAGGTTTAAAGAAGCCAGGCTGTTCAAGAGAAACTGCTATCATTCAAGTTCAAGCTCCATTTGCATTGACAAACAGTGCAGAGATGCCCTTGTCAAACTCACCTTTCCGTTTCTTTACTTTATTTCTCCAAAGTAAAAGAACCTGTGTAAAAATACACAGTGCAAATGATCAAAAGGATTAAGGGACTGAGAAGCACTTATGGAAATGCCCACGCTTTGCAGGAACGAGCCAGCGTGCCAGGCTAATTTCATTCCAGAGGCCAATCTGCAAACAGTGTTTTGTGCTTCTGGAGATAAAAGGCTGTATCTTCAAAATATTTCAGGCTGCGCCTTCACATCATATCGTGCAAATAGCATGGTAGATGTGATGTGCAAACGTGCTTGTTAACAACGCACAGCGGCATTACTCCGCTGTACGAAAATATCTTTAGAGGAAAACGGGAAAGGACGCAATCCTCCCTGAGCACCTTGCTCTGCTGCCTATACCCCGAAACCCAGAGGAAGGAGGTCACAGGCAGAGAGTTAGCAGGGTGGAGGGGAGACATTCCTTCTGAGACAAAGCAACTGAGGAAAAAATACTAGGTGTGTTCTCGGCACAGATCAGTGGGTGAAGAAGCTAGAGCGAAGAAATGCCTAGGAGCTTGGCTGGGGAGACTGAGTGCCAGACAGTATCCCGGCCACTTAGAAATTTTCTCCTTTGAAATGGAAAAACTTGGAAAAAATTATATTAAGTGAAGTAAGCCAGGCCCAAAGAAACGTAGGTCCCATGGTTTCCCTTATTTGTAATATCTAGTATATGTATGAGTCAAGC